AGAACTAGTGCCAATACTTCTCAAATTCTTCAAAACTGAAAGGGAAAGAACACTGAAAAACTCATTTCCTGAAACTAACATTGCCCTGATACCAAAACAAGACAAGGATTTAACAAAAAAAAGAAAACCATAGACCAATTTCCTTAATAAACACAGATGCAAAAACCCTCAACAAAGTACTTCCCAAACCGAATATAACAAATCATTAAAAGGATCATATACCACAGACAAGTCAGTTTCATCCCAGGGACACAGGGGTAGTCCAACATTTGTGAATCAATAAATGTTATACATCATAGAAACTGAAGTATGGATAAAAATCACATATTACTTGAATGGATGCAAAGAAAGTCTTTGAAAAAAAATCCAACATCCATTCATGATTAAAAGCCTTGAAGAAAATTGGTATAGAGGATCTTGCCTTAAAATCACAAAAGCCACTACCAAACCCCGTGCTGAACTTATACTAGATGGGGAAAAATGAAAGCTTTCCCACTAAAATGAGGAACAAGACAAAGCTGGCTACTCTCACCATTCCTCTTCAATATAATACTCAAACCTTAGCCAGTGCAAGTGGGCAAGAACAACAAAATGAATTTAAACAGAAAAAAGTCAAAATAACTTCATTTGCAGATGATATGGTCAATTCTCTAAAGAATCCCCAGAACAGTCTTCACTGGAAAACTCTTAGAACTAATAAATTCATCAAGTAACCCTATACAAAATAAACACACAAAAATCAACATTGTTTGTATGTGGAAAGAAAGAACTCACTGAGAAATCAGAGAAACAGTCCCATTGACAGCAGCTTCAAAACTAATTGAATATCTAGGAATTAACCTACCTAAGGAAGTGCAAGACTTCCATATCTAACACTGCACTGTTTTGAAAAAAGAGACTGAAGAGTACATTAGAAAATGTTTTGAAACATCTGCAAAAATAGCCATATGGGCAAAAATGGTACACAGATCTAAAGAAATCTCTGAAAATCACATTCAGCATGTTTTACAGAATTAGAAAAAATAATTTTAAAATTTATATGGAATCAAAGGATACTCAAAATAATCAAAACAAACCTGGGCAACAAGAGTAAGGCAGAAGGCATTACAACCCCAGACTCGAAGTTACACTGCAAAGCTACAGTAGTAAAAGCAGAATGATACTGGCACAAAAACCAGACATATGGCTAATGAAATAAAATAGAGAATACAGAAACAACTCCAAGGACTTTCAGCCTTCGGACTGTTGACAAAGTGGCTAAAAATATTCACTGTAAAAAAGATCCTTTAACAAAAGGTACTAGAAAAACTAGTTATACACATGCACAAGAATGAATCTTGATCCACATCTCTTATTCTGCAATCAAATCAAATCAAAATGGGTGAAAGACCTATACAAAAACAGAAAAACTAAATCTGGAAGACAGACGAGGGAAAACTCTTTAAGATATAGGCATAGGTAAGGAGTTTCTGAACAGAACCTCAGTTGCACCAGAAAATAATGTCAAGAATTAACCAGTGGGAGTATATCAAATTAAAAAGTTTCTGCACAACAAATGAAACAGCTAGCAGATGAAGAGACAACCTACAGAATGGGAAAAATGTTGCCACCTACTCCTTAGATAGAGGACTAATAATCAAACTATATAAATAAATAAAATTAGATCCTCCAAAATAAAAGAGCAAAATTTAAAAAACGAGCAAGTGAAATTAATGGGTAATTCTCAGAAGAAGAAATACAAATAGCAATAAATATATTATGAACATCTTTTCTTTTAGAGAAATGCAAAACAAAACAACACTGAGATTCTGTCTTACTCCATCTGGTAAGAATGGCTATTGTCAGACTCAAGAAACAACCAATGCTGGTGAGGGTATGGGGAGATGGCACCTTCCACACTGTTACTGGACATACAATCACTGGGGAAATCAGCGCACAGATTCTTCACAAAACTAAAAATACAAATTCCATTTGATCCGCTATGCCTCTCCTGTGTACCTTACCCAAAAAACTAAAGTCATCATCCTACACTGATACAAAGATACCCATGTTTACAGCAGCACAACTCACCAATAGCCAATCACGGAAGTGGTCCATAATCTCATCCACAGATAAATGGATTAAAAATATGATATATTTAGACAATGCAGTACCACTTAGCCATAAAGAAGGATAAATTTGAGTCATTTGTTGGAGAATGGATGGATCTTGAAACCATGATACTTAGTAAACTAAGTCAGTCACAGAAGATTAAATATTGCATGATCTTATAATACAAGAGACACAAAATACAAATAACATAACAAGCAAAATTAAAGTGCTATGATAAGAAACAGCGGGTCTACTCCAGATATGAGAAGGGGAAGAGAAGGGAGGGCAAGGGAAGTAAAAATGATCAGGATTTGATATGGATATGTATCTCAAATGTCCAAGTTTAATATAATCCCTATGTGCCACAAATATACTAATATAAATTTTAAAATGAAACAATTTAAAATGACATGCCATAATACATACATGCTAAGGCTATACATGCTGTGGAATGACACTCTGCTCACCTGATAGTTCAAAACAAGAACTAAAGAAGCTCTTTGTGTCTCAAAGGCATTGATAGACCAAAGACAGCCTCTGTTCATCCCAACTTTGTAAGATTTCTATTGTAACTTTAGAGTATATCCAGGGACCCACACCTTGAAACAGGAACAAGTTGAATTTTCAAATGTACTTTCCCCAAGATCATAGTGGCCTAAAAAAATAGATCTAATAAGATTTAACGCTACATTTAATATCATTAGTTAGACCAATACTGTTCAATGTAGTATCTAGCAGAGTCAAGTAACTAGTTATGTGTCAAGTACTAAAAGTTAAATGAAATAAAAATTTGCCTTTAATGATGCCACTTAATAGCCAGAGACTTCCTGGAAAGCACAGCTTACAGAGTAGTTCCAGCACCACACAAAATCCTGTGGACAAGATGAAGCTTATCCACGTCCTCACCAACACCGCAAATGGCCAGAGCAGCTTTTCGCTTGTTGCATTAAACGCAAGGAACTGCACTGTGAGTGGGCAAAGTAGATGTTGGCTTGGTTTGAGAGCTATGGAGCAGGCCTGCCAGTCTATGAAAAACCCTCAGACTCACCTTCAGCAACGAAAGTGGCAAATTAGACCTGCATTCCTTTAGCTCAGAGGCTAAGCTTTAGACTCAGTTGGAGATTTGTGTTCCCTCTGTTTTGAAAAGCGTTAAAAGTTCCAAAAGAAGCACCATGTTGAGACAAAAAATACATACTCAGTCTTATTTTGACAGTAAGTTGCGGGTTAGGAGCACAAAGACATTTTATGAGCAGAAGCTCCTGATATGGAGGTAAAGGGGTTCAAAGGGGGAAGAGCCTAGAAAGTGGCCTGTCCCATTCCACAAGTGCTAGTGAGGGTGGAGGAACTGTCACAGGCAGCTGATCCGAAAAGCTCCCCAGGAATGCGAAGGAGAGCAAAGGCCAGAAGGAAGCAGGTCCATTTTATAATGGAAAAAGGCTTTTGGGACTTAAACTCACATCCCAGCTCCCATTTCCTCCACAAGGAGATGACAAACTGACATTTGCCACACTGATTGTCTCCTTCCTGTCCTTTACAGGACCAGGGGAACCATTAAGGCAAGCACTGGAAACCTGACTAGAGGAGGGAACTGGTGTGAAGGCACAGCTCTAACGAGGAAAGGGCATACGGCTTTTCAAGGCGTCTACACTGTAGTATATTTTTCAGACTTACACATTTGGCATGTCTGTGAAAAAAACCCCAAGCTTCTTCTATTTTATGAAGTCAAAATAAATACTTATATGCCACATTCATACAGATAGAATGTAGTCTACAAAATGAAGCAACAGTGAGTTCTGCCATGCCACTAGTGCTGCAAATGTGGGTCTCAAAAAAACTACTTCAGGGCTTCTTTCCAGTCTTCTATCTGCCCCACCCGCTCCTGTTCATGATTTCCTGAGAAACCACTTCTACCTCCAAGTGATTTAAACAAGTGATATTATGAAATGCTTTCTTTAAGAAATGAGGAACAATGTCATATGACCAAGTGATTGTTCACTGTGATTACAGCAGCACTGTTCAGTGATGAAAATAGCCAGAGAATCTGACTTTAAAGTGACTGAGTACTGAAAATCAAAGAGCACTAATTAAAAGTCACTGTTAACCTGGGAGGAGAATTTTATGTCTTGGCTAGAAGCTCTGCCCTAGATCACATACTACAGACATACATGTTTTTCACCTCTTGAAATACAGACAGATAAATTATTAAGAATTAAGGTAACATAAAAATCAAAAGGAAAGCATTTATAATAAGCCAGTCTTTCTCAATTATGGAATGCTCATTAAAAATACAGACCTCTTAGACTCTCTGGGTAGGGCCTGGGAAGTTGACGCTTTGCTACTTTTCTGGGTGATTAACATTTCCACTCAATTTGAGAAGTTTCAATTGTTAGACAATTCAGAGATACAAAATTAGACTGAAATATCTTAACAGAGATGAATTTTGATCACATGAACTAAACCTCCAAAACAGAGGTAAAAACTGTCTTCTTGCTTCCCTAAGGTATAAATTTGTGGAACTGAGAGTGGAAAATAGTTGGGAAATCAAGATTGACAGCAGTTCCTGCTCAGAAGCGCTGGGGGGTCTTACTTGTGGGGAGGAATCCTACAGAGGGGAGGTGGCATCACTGAGCTCTTGAGCCAGTGTGTGTGACAGGACACTCAGCATCAAGCGGTGTTTAGTACTTTGGGTTTCAAATATGAGTGATTATGCAATTAATTGATTTTTGCCCTGACTTAAGTAAAAAGTAGAAAATTGCTTTACACATCTAAAAGACTTATGGAGACTATTTCCCATAGGTAAAAACCTCTTCATAGTTTCAGAATGCTATCATCATAAAAGTGCTTGCATTAAATTATTCCTTGCCTTCACTCTATGTCACGCCCTGCCACAGAGATCAGCAGATTCTTACCACAGACATGGAGTTAGAAAGCAGGGTTCCGTCCTGGCCCAGCATGTTGGAGACAGTTATTTCCGGTAGGTCCATGTTTTGTGGGTGGAACGGTAGCAGGCCATTATGGTTCATGGGGTGGCACAGGGAGTGGTAGCCAGATTCGACTTCATTCAGGTGCACCAGCGAGTGATCGGGGAGGGAAGGAGGCGTGATGGGGGGAATGTTAAAGTCTTCACTCTCTAGACTTGGACCAGGATAGGACTGTGAAAAGACAAGAGTGACATTGTTGCAAGTTATCATCCCCTTGTTCTTCCTCATCAGGAACAAACACACCACCTTTTGGATAATTACAAGCAGCATTATGGTTTAGTAAGATGTTTCAAATGTTCCAATTACCCTACTGCCATTTATTTCACTATTATGCACAGAAGAAAATTGCCTCCAAAGTGTATCCACTTCTAGTATAAAGACTGCTTCCATTAGGTGGTTTTTATTTTTCCAGGAAGCTGAACTCAAACAGATTTCAAACATCTCATTAAAATTTTCCAGAATTTTAATCTAGCTGAATTCCTTTTTCATGGGAGTTGTGGGGAAGAGAGGCAATTTATAAAATTAATGTTTGATCAAACATGTTTCACAGGACTCCCTACTGCTTGGATTATGGGATGTAATAAAAATGAATCACACAAGTCTGGGGCAGTTGCCTTTGAGCTTGAAAAGTTACCTGTTCATAATAAATGAAAGAAAAGATATTAGTAAAGAAGTAACTTAAACATGCTACATAAGTGTGGACACATTGAAGAGTTGATATATTCTTCAAATTCCACTAGAAGCTAATTTTATCTTCCAGATTTTATCCTCCAAAGTGGAGATTGCTTTCACGATTTCTAGTAACATTTGTTTGACTTCCTCTAAAAGCTGATAAATAACAATGTACAAATTTAATTTTACTTCAGTCCATCATAGAATGCAAAATACTACTATTATTAAAATACTAATTCTGAATAAAAGTCAAGAGCAAAATAAATACTATTAGCACACCTGGGCCTTTTGCTTTTACAAATTACCTTAGATAAAATAGGAAGGAAGGGAGCGAAGAAAGAAGATTATATAAGACACACCTGTTAAAGAATGTGGTAAACGTTGGAAAATATAAGGAAAAGCTGAATAAAGAAACATTGTTACCAGTTTGTATCAATACACAGCTATATTTAGCAGTCCTTTATAAAACAGGTGTCATAATATGAAAGGGAACATTTTGGTCCAGATAATTCTTGCAAGCCTATCTTTCAAAATAAGAGAGCCTTCACAGTGTCTGTGTGCATGGGTAACAAGGACCCCCTTGTCTAACAGCACAGCGGCTGCTGAAGTGTGCAAGATTTGAAATGGGGAGGCAAAGGGTAGGAGCCAAAGAAAGTAGTGCAAGGTATTCATTGGGTGTTCAGCCAATAAGCTTCATGCTCCTGTGTCCAAGTGCCTGGGGTTATTTTTTCCAGATGGCGTCTATTTGTCTAACAGAAAGAAAATCGTCAAGTTTTACTTGCTAAATGTTGGACAAGTTTTGATATATTTGTTTAGGTGCTGTCAGAAGACAAGATTAAATGAAGAGCTCCTTGGATCATCTGGGATTTAGACTTAGCCATGGAGAGGAACATGTGGGTTAGCATCTGGGGTGAAGGGTTGATTCACTCCTGCAGATAATTTTTCTTAAATATCTAACATTCTGGTACAAAAAAAAAATTATCAGCTCTGAAAGTTCAGTCATCTGTTACCAAAGTCTTCTGTTAACAGTATATATTTTGTGTCTGAAAATTGTATCAGTGCTCTATGTAAAAGTTACAAGTTTGGTCAAACTCTCACACATCTGATATATTTGAGAGCCTGAGTCTACAGTTCTAAGCCCTTAACTTCTTCTGCAAATATAAAAGATGCCCAGTGGGGAGGGAAAAGGGAAAGCATATTTGATAATACCTATTTCATATAAAGTACTTTATGGTAGTACTTTGACTATTCTGCCTTCATTTAAGCCTTATAATAACCCTTTGTGTAGCGATCACTGCCTCTATGTTCTTGAAAAGAAATTGAAGCTCAGAAGTTAAACAGCTTGTTTAGCTTCACTTAGCTGGTAGATGACCATCTCAGTACATAGGCAGGAAGGATGGATATATGATGAAAGAAGGTGTTTTTTGGCAGTACTCGGAACTGAACCAAAGGCCTTGGCAAGAAGCTACATCCGCAGCCCTCTTTCATTGTTTATTTTGAGGCACAGTCTCACTAAATCACTAAGTTGCCCAGGATGGGTTGGAATTTGAGGTCCTCCTGCCTCGGCCTCTCAAGAGAACTGTGATTATAGGCATGCACCACCATGTCAAGCTGTAAGAAGGCATTTTTGTTGCTGGGATATTTACATGAGCAGTACAATTGTTACTATTTTATTAGGCTGGATGATACAAAATTGCTAATATCCACTATTTCTGTTAAAATTTCACACTTTATGAATTAGTATTAGCATCAGTAACAGGTTTTTCCTTGTATAGAATTCTACCCCAATACTCACCCACCAGAATTCACTACTTTACATGAATGCAGGAATTCATAGTTTATCTCTGCAGTATAGCAACTGTTAAATTTTTTGATCTATAACTTTAAGAAGTTAATCAGTGCCTATTTGAAATCTTACTGAATCAGACACGAGTAATGGAAAGGAAGTAAAAAGTTGCTCTTCATTTTAAAATACCATTCGACCTCTGAAAATAGTAAGGGATATTCTAGCCAGAGTATTTCATGACTTTATGTTCTAGAGTTTCTTCAGTTGTTAAATCTTAATTTGTGGTATTTTAGAGGAAGGTTTAATTAGTATCACTTTACATTCAGTGATAACAAACGTACTGCAATTTAACTAAGCTATATGGTTTATTTTCATGTAATTACACATTAACATTATTTAATCCATGCAGTTATACACCAAAACCACAGATTCCACAACTTAACTGGTAATGGGTAGTTATGTGGGTCAAGAATTTTAACAACTTAAGGTTTCTTAGTAGTTTTGGTTCTTTACATCAGAAATGATGATATTACAGTGTAACTGATGCCATATAAAGTATTGCAGTAACTGTATAAATGTCAAAATGTCCTAGAACTGTAAAAAAGTTCAATGCCAAACTAATTACTAATGGTTTTAAATGTGGAAATAAGGGGCTGGGGATTTAGCTCAGCGGCAAAGCGCCTGCCTGGCAAGCGCAAGGTCGTGAGTTCGGTTCCCGGTACCGGAGAAAAACCAAAAAAAATAAAAATAAAAAAAAAATAAATGTGGAAATAAATTAGCTAATTTCCTAACTTTGACTTCTATGACATCCTTTACTTAGAGTCTTGAATATTACATTAAAATGTGTTTATTAAATAGTTACCTTTTATATTATAGGTAATTTGAAGTTTGGAGGATATAACAGAACAAGATACTATTTGATACTTTGTTTTATTCCCCATGAGCTCCTTGGTTGAATTGGTGTTAAAAGTTTGCTGAATAAATAAATACAGTGGACCCTTGACTATGAACTCAATTCATTTGCAAAGGCTGGTTGTAACTCAAGTTAGTTGTAAGCCAAGATTATTTCTCCCATAAGAAATAATGGAAATAGCCATAACGCATTTCAGAAGCACTTCCTAAAGCACCCCTTAACTAACCTTTTCATAATAAAAGTGTTGTGTAATGTGTGTTGATTTATCAGAAATACCAATAGTTTTCATAGTGTATTCACTGGAAAGTTATAAAATGTGCCAGAAACAACAGTTTCATACTGTACTCACCATTCTGGTTGCCATCTTTGGCTTGCAAGAAGGGAGGATGAAACGGAAGGTGGTTATTGTTTGGAAGGAGAGTTCCCTTCCGTAAGAACATCAGGAATCTGGCTCTCTGCTGTCCTTTCTCTCCTTGGGGGAGTCTGTAGCCCACTAGAACCTGCCTCTGGCTCACTAGGTCTCAACCTTTTCAGGAATAAAAACTAGCCTAAGGTTGTCTGTTTCTGTCTTTTCTTTAACACTGCCCTGTAGTATGACATGACACTGTCATTAAGCAAGTGAATGCAGTGATTGGCTCTTTCTCTGTCTGGGTGGGTCTTCTCTATAAATGTTTGTAGCTCTGTCCATATTTTCAGGATTTCCTTTATTTTACAAGAAGTACTTTGCTGCACTGACTATTGATACTTCCCCACCTCTTCAGAAAGCTCTTCAGCTGCCACTCTCTGTGGCTCAGCCAGAAGTTGCTGAAGCTCCTCTGTAGACAGTTCCTCTGAGTGTTCCTCCTCCAGTTCCTCAGCATCACCACTGTCTATCTGCAGGTCTATGGACAGTGCTATAGGGATAGTGTCATCAGCCACAGGGTTTGTTGAAGGCTCAGGCTCCTCTACACAGCCTTCCATGTGTCTATCCTGTATGATTTTAGGCCACACTTTCTTCAAGGCAGATGTCAGCAACCTTAGAGAGAAACACTGGCCCAGGATTTCTCAATCAATTAACGCTACACAGGAAAAGATGTTGTACTGTTCCTTTCAGAAGTCTTTAAGGGTTAAATCTGTATCTGAGACCATCTGGAAGCACTTCAGGAAGAGTTCCTTGGTGTACGGCTTCTTAAAGTTATCTGTAACCTGCTGGTCCACAGCTGGCAGTAGAGGAGTTGTATTAGGAGAGAGGATCCTGACTGAGAGCCATAGGAATTCTTCAGCCAATTCTTCCAAATTTCCTGGATGAGCAGAAGCACTGTCTATGATGAGGAGAGCTTTGAGTGGCAAATCTCCATCCAGTCAGTATTTCTTAACAGTAGTACACAAAACCTCCCTGATACACTCAAGAAAAAGTACTCTTGTTACCCAGGCTTTTGTATTAGGTCTCCACATTACCTCTAGCCTACTCTTCATGATTTTATGTTTTCTCACCACTCTAGGGGTCTCAGAGTGATAAAGTAAGAGAGGCTTTATCTTGAGGTCACCACTTACAATGGCACATGGTAATAAGGTTAGCCTATCCTTCATAAGCTTGTGATCTGACATTTTCTTTTCTTCCTCAGTAATGTATGTTCTCCTAGGCATTTTCTTCTAGAAAAGGCCAGTTTTATCACAGCTGAAAACTTGATGGGAGCAAAAGCCATTTCTCTGTGTCATCATTTTGAAGTGTTGTATGTAATTCTCAGCAGCTCTTTTATCAGCACTGGCTGCTTCATCATGACTATGCTATGAACGCCAGTTCTCACTTTAAAATTGTGA